TGAACATTCAGCTTGACATTGCTCAAATGGTTGAACCAATGCAGTCGTGGAGCTGGCTACTGATGCTACAGTTATGTTGCTCCTGTTTCTCACAATCTTTAGGTACAGCAGATTGTAAAACGATGGGATGTGGTTAGTGGTGCCATCTTATCAGGCTGCCAGCTGTGCCCAACAATACAAATGTATTATTCTAATCTTTAAAGATGGCACTGCCTGATGCAGCACAAGGCCATACAGCCGAGAAGGTCACAGGTTCAAATCCAAGATAATCCAGAGCTGACATCAACTGACGGTGTAGTCGAGGTGCTGCAATTGCTCCTGGTGCAATTTACAATAGTAATATAATAATAATCCTTGCATTTGATATTGCGCTTTTCACGTCTTTGAGACATCTCAAAGCGCTTCACAGAATATACTGTAAAGTGAATTGACTGTATACTTGCGGACTAATCGCGGCAGTCAATTGTGCACAGCAGTGTCCCACAAACAGTCATGACTAAATTGAGCGACCAAATTATTATTATATCCATGAATCCCTGAAACGTTGCCCTCTGGTTCTGTGGCTGGTGTATCTGGTGTAAACCTTCACCTGTCCAGGGCCTTGGGTCGTCCTCCCGTTGTAAATTTGTATATCAAAGTGTTGTTCTGGCTTTACTTTCTCAATCCCATTTAAAATATTATATACCTCGTATAAAGTTCCCCTTTAAGATGTTTGCCAGTCATACTTCCATGATGTTTGACACTTGGACTATGTCACTGGGGCCATTGTGGCAGTGGGGAGGGCAAGGAAGGGAGGTGGGTCACAAGATTAATCTCATAATAAGTGCCCCACAGATGATGTCAACACAAGACAGCATTTATGCATTCCTCTAATATGAAGGAGACTGTTTGCAGATTCTTTGCATTACTCCAAGGCTTTCAGATGTACCGCAAGCTGAGTTGGAACAGAGCACAAACATCACATGCAAGAAATTTGTACAGAAAACATTGCATCTATAAGGATAACATTCCGCACAGAATCGGGGTCCCGAAAAACCTTGAGTCCTTAAGTTTAAGACTTCATTTAATGGTAACAGCGACAAATATAACAACCTGTATTTATATAGCGCCTTTCACACGGTAGTGTCTCGATTGGTTTCAAGGACACATCTTAACTTGCGACCAGCTGGGAACCTCTTAGGTTCCATGTGCAGGTTGTCCTCCAGTCCCCCACCCAAGTAGTCAATTTGTTCATTATAATAGTAATCCTTGCATTTGATATACCGTCTTATCACATCATTGAGATGTCTCAAAGCGCTTCACAGAATATATTGTAAAATGAGTTGATTATATATTTTTGGGCAAAATGCTGCAGCCAAATTGCGTACAGCAATTCATGTGTTAGTCTTGATGGTGAGCATTGACAGTTGGCTAAGATCAAGCGTAGGATATGTTCTTATCGGTTACTCCTTTGGTTGGTACCTGCCAAAAAAGTTCTCCTATTGAGATTCGGTTGTGATTTACCGGCTTGACCGAATCTCACCCATAAATGGGCCGTAATGCGAAAAATTGAGTTCCTGGCAACTGTTATGCTATCAGCCATCTGTTGGTTAGGATCAGTATTGCAGTACCTCTGATCTGAGGAGTTTGATCTGCCCTCATATGGAGAAAGCGGAAATACTGGAAAGCAGAGCTGACTTGAGCACCTGGTCAACTAGGCTCAGGCTGGGCTTACTCTGCCGGAGAGGTAATCCTGTTGCCTGACTTGCTTGGATGGTCACGTAGACAGGTACCAGGTCCGAATTGTTCTTTGACAATTTGGGGCCTAAAGATTTTTTTGGGTTGGGGGGAAGGGGGCAGAGGGGATGCCTGTGGGGACAACTCTCGTTTCTTGTGGAACACAATTCAGTTTAAGCAGGGCCTAACCTCACTCCAAATAAAAAAAATGCAGCCCCAGCTAAAACCAACAAAGTCAGCACAGAGCATCTGATCCACAAGCTGCGATTGTATCCATCAAACCATCAGAGGTGCCCTGCTGAGGATACCTAAGGAACACTTCATCTATTGATCAGAAAATGCAGTTGTGTTCTTGAAAGCAATCTTTAGTGAAGGATTGGGACCCGATACCCTTTCTTCCCGGACAATACTTGTCCCACCAGATTTTAACATTCCAAACTACGGCCGTGTTTCCGACAAGGTTCTTAAACCCTTACACCTAAAGACACAAGGCTTTTTGCCCCACCCCTCCCCAAAGAAATTGAATACACTGAATTTTATTGACAAAAATATTCATGGCAAGGATGAAAGATCTGGGATACCAGACCCATTCCTCCCAGTTGTTACTGCCAAAGGAAATCTTGATGCCCAATCACCACAACTACTTCAGAGAAGACTATTAAATGTCCTACTGGACATTGGACCAGCCAATGTGCATATTCCTGATACTTGATAATAATTCATATCAAATAATCATTCTCATTCACTGTCAATCAGCTTCTGTGTAGTGTAGCTTTGTAAGGCAAGGAATCTTGCTGCTATTTCCACACTGCTGCTTGCCTTTATCAGAGTTGTATCATGTTGCTTAACCAAATCAGAGGTGATTTCAAAGACAATGAGCCTGGAAACATCAGGAAATAAATTGTACTTTATTGATTGTGAAGTGAAAGTTCCGATTGCTGCACCAGCAAATGTCAATAAATCTGCACATCTACTAACCACCTATAATGACTGGTTTCACTTTAAGTCTATTTGCTTCAAAGAAACCTCACACAAAAGCAAGTGAAAAATTGATTCAGAGCAATTTTGGTAACCTGAGATATTCTATTTTTAACAGATCACATTGTCCTTTTAATATGCGTCTTTCACTATTACTAAAATAATAATAATCCTTGTAATTGATATAGCTTCTTATCATGTAGTTGAGATGTCTCAACACGATTCACAGGATTTTATTGTAAAGTGGAGTGACTGTGTATTTTGTGGGTGAAACGTGTCAATTTGTGCACAGCAATGTCCCATAAACAGCCATAATAATAATCCGTGCATTTGATATAGCACTTTTCACGTAAAGCGTTGTACTGTGAAGTGAATTGACAGTATATTTGTGGACCAATTGCGCACAGCAGTGTTCCACAAACAGTCGTGGATTGAGTGACCGAATTATTATTTTTTTTGAAGGATTATTATCCCAGGAAAAGCGATCCGCCACTCGACTAACAACCGGGTTCCTACTTACTACTAGGTAAACAGAGGCGTGTGGAGTAAGGAAACTCACTCGTTGGGAGTCCTGTGGGAACTAACAAAATCGGTGGCAAACCACAATTGGAGACTATGGAGAAAAAGCCTCCCCCATTTGAGGAGTCCTCTAGCTTAGTGGTTAGAGCGCTCGTCTCGCAAGCGAGAGACCTGGGTTCGATTCCCGGCAGGATGAAACCTTGGGCAAGTTTTCTTACTCCACACGCCCGATAATAATCCCTCAAGAAAAAACACAATAATAAATTGGTCACTTCAATCCACGACTGTTTGTGGGACACTGCTGTGCGCAATTGGCTGCCACGTTTCACCCACAAATAGTCAATTCACTTTACAGTATATTCTGTGAAGTGCTTTGAGACGTCTAGAAGACGAGAAAAGCACTATATCAAATGCAAGGATGATTATTATTATTAACTTGCTCAACATTTCTCCATGCCAGGAATAGAATCCAGGTCTCTCGCTTGCAAGATGAGCACTCTTACCACTGAGCTACAGAACTCCACAAGTGAATGAACAATTTTACCTGGGGGATTGTTGGCCAGGACACTTGGGAGGAACTCCAGAAGAAAATAGTGCTATGGGATACTTAATGTCCACTTGGACAGGCATAGGCACTTTGGTTTAAATTTTCATCCGAAGGATGGCATCTCCAACAACGCAGCACACTCCAACACTTCCCCCCACAAAATACACTGTACAGTATAATCTGTGAAGCATTTTGAGACATCTGATAAGGTGATAAGGTGCTATAACAGCATATGTACTCACCTTTGGGCATGCTTCCCTTCAGTTTATTTCTTTTAAGTGCTCTGAGGTGCTACCCTGCCTGAGGAATGCTGTATAAATGCAAGTTGTTGTTATGCACTGTGTTGGAGGTAAACAATGAAGTACTGATATTTTTATTACTTATTATGAATGAAATAATCTAAAGACATGTCATTCTAAATTTGTGCCCCATAAGGTATTTTCAAACATAATTGTCAAACATAATCGAGTTAAATTTTTGCCTGGTTTAACCAGAGGGTTTAACTCTGGGGTTAGATTAGACCACTCCCCCCAAGATCAGTGTTAAAAATCTGAGAATTTAATTCTGAGAGATATATCCTGGTCTGTGCTGAGTTGGCTGGTTTCAGTCAAAACTGCATTGGGAGGGTAATAGGCCAAGGGTCAGGAAAGGGAAAAAAACAGCGAGGGATCCTGTTTCTTCTTCAGCAGCTTACTGATAGTTTGTGATTGACACCCTCTGCATTTGAACAACCTATCAACACTTATTGTAGAGTCTTGCATGTGAACCATGGTCACTTGGACAAGAGTGAGTGGTCAATTTTACTTTATCCATAAAATGTTCGATCACTACACTTTACAGTATATTCTGTGAAGTGCTTTGAGACGTCTCAGCGACGTGATAAGGCGCTATAATAATAATCCTTGCATTTAATATAGCACCTTATCATGTCTTCGAGACGTCTCAAAGCGCTTCAGAAAATATACTGTTAAGTGAATTAACTGAATATTTTCTGGGCAAAACACAGCAGTCAATTGCACACAGCAGTGTCCCACAAACAGTCATGGAATGAAGTGACCAATTTTTTTTTGAAGGAATTATTACCCGCGGAAAAGCGATCCACCAATCAATTAATAACTGGGTTCCTACTTAATTACTAGGTAAACAGAGGCATATGGAGTAAGGAAACTTTCCCAACATTTCGTCCTGCTGGGAATCAAACCAGGTCTCTCGCTTGTGAGGCAAGTGCTCTAACTACTGAGCTACAGGACTCCACAGCAATATCAAATGCAAGGATTATTACTATTATTTCACAGATATTTCACAATGCCAAGAGTTACATTTTTAAAGCAAGTTTTTAGAGACGCTTAAAAAACATTTTTGTAGAAAATTAAAACAAAATGTTGTTTTGATTTCTTTGATATCTCTGCTGCAGATTTATTGCAAGATAAATTTCCTTTTTTTTGGAAATCATTGCATCGTTGGCACATTTCTTAGAAGGAAACAGATAAAGTTACAGGGGGAGAAATACCCCCTGGGTCTAGATTTCTACAGTCATTACACTTTTACAGTATATCTTGTGAGCGCTTTGAGGTATTCTTCCAATGTAAAAAGCACTGTATTTCATACATAAAGGTCAAACATAATTTGACATTTATGTATCTAGCTTACTGGATGCATCAAGCGGTCTGGGACACTATCCTGAGTGAGAGGGACTATATAAATGCAAGTTGTTGTAAGGATTATTATTTACTCTATTTTCTTGGCATTTGGGGTGTGTAGAATTTTGCAGATTCTTATATGCCATCTTCACTTTAAAACCTAAAATACACAATCACTACACTTTATAGCAGAATCCTGTGTAGTGCTTTGAGATATTTCAGGAATGTGACAGAAGGTGCTAAATCAAATGCAGGGATTAATTAAGAGTTTTGTGTAAATTTCTTTTTAACAACTGCAGAAAACAGGCTTCAAAGTTGTGATTGAATTCAACAAATTGTTAAAATTCTGCATGTTCCAAAAGCAAGTAAATCTTAGATCCAGGTGAAATTTCTCCCCTGTGGTTTGACACATCACTCAAAGAAAAATATAAACAGCTGTGCACGATTTCAGTTATACTGAAGTAAAAATTTTTTCAGAAATAGAAACTTTCAGCACAGGAGGAGGGCATTTGGGCCATCGTGTCCCGGCCATGATGGATGTGGACTTGTGAAAACTTCCATACAAGCAGTTCTACAAAACTTCTTTGATGAGCATCGCCAACCGTTGTAAACCCTGGAGAGAAAAAGAAAAACAGTTTAAATAAGAAATGTTAAATAAGCATTTAACTTTGGATGAACTTGTGCAACATACAGTAGATACAATACAGGTTTGCTTATATAATTAACCTCCGGGTATCTGGAATTTGACCGTAGCCAAACCAAAAAAGATTTTATTTAAATTTCCGTGGGCCACAATTTTCCACGTGCTGTGTGTATACTCCCTCTGGCCCAACTCTCCTAGTGTGCCCTAAATGCATTACCGGCATTTCCGATTCCACTTTTGCAATTTTTGTATTAGCGGCATTGTGATTACACTTCACCAGAAATTCAGACTAGCCAGAACAGATTTTCTCCCCATTAGTCCGGCTACCTGGAGTTATTTGTAGTGTGATTAGTGCGGATCCCAATATTTACTTTCCCCCTCAAAAATCCAAAGCGCACATTGGCTGCATCAAAACACCAGCTGGCAAGTAGGAAGGCAAAATAATCGAGTTCTCGGTCACCAGGTCACAGGAAGTGATGTTGGCAGAAACTTGATGACTGGCTGGCATTTTGAAGGTGAAGGAGCAGACATGATGGAGCTTGTTCAGTGAACGCGGAAGTGCTGACTGGTGATTGAACCTCATGATAGGGCTGGTTGGGAATTTTTGGACCCCAACTATCATCTTATAACAGGACTTTACTATACACAAACATAGGTGAAAAATGCAGTGATTCACAATGGATTCAATGGCATTCAACCACATTTTTTAGCCTATTCACTTGTTTTGGTTTGAACATGTCCAATTTAGCTTTTGGAACAATGGTGGTAAGGAAAACCTCCTTTAGTGCATCACCTCCATAGAACAGGGAACAATTTGTAGTCTCAGGAGATGCCGAATAGGTTCAGTTTTTGTCTATCTACAGGCTTTAGGATCTTGATCATGGTTGATCTTCTCCATTATGAACAATGGCAGCTTCTGCTTGTAGCTTCTCATTTCGTAGCTCAGCAGCTAGTTCCAACCTTAGATGAACGGGTTGAACAAGCTCCCTCCATAAGACCTGCAAATCTGTTACTTTTCTGTTAGATCATGCGTCAGATTGGAGAGGAATTTACCTCATCCATTTCCTCAGGAGTAGAAATGGAAAAGGAAGCTCGGATGTATGCGCTCGGTGCTGAACTGTCAACCATGAAGGCTCGTCCGGGAACAAACATCACCTGCATAGAAGGAAAAGATTCAGATGGCTTACTATACCTCTTGATATTCAATTACGGTCAAACCTCTTAAAACAACCACCTCTGTTCAGCAACCACCTACTGTCAACAACCACCCTCGGATGTAAGGATTATTATTAATTAATTAATTACTGAATTATATATCTTCTTCCCTCTACCTCCTGGGGCCCAGCCAGCTGTGTAAAGGGTTTTGAGACATCCTCCTGATGTGAAAGACAATAAATAAATTGTGTTGTATTGCATTCTCTAGATCAAAAACAACAACAAATTGCATTTATGTAGTGCATTTTACATCAGGAGAACATCCCAAGGGGTTGGACAGTCGAGGGTTTGCACTCCAGCTGGGGGATGGATTTGGGGGCGGGAAGAAGACTAAAGGCGCGGTGAAAGAGGAAGGATCAAACTGGGTGTTGTGAGAAAGAAGGAAGCAAAACAGTTTCCCCTTTGCTATTCACTAAACTGTTACCTCCTTTTCCATGGCTTTCTCCATAATTAGTTGGTACGTGTCCGGAACCCCCTTTAGCCTCAACCAGATGAACATGCCAGCAGAAGGAACATGCCATTCAGCTAGATCTAGATGAAAAATATGAATTGGTGGACGAAAGAGCAGAGATATTGAAAATCACTTTCAACATATTTACAGGTGTGTGATTTGAATAAACATTGCCTTTGCAGGAAAGGGGTGAAAATGATTGAAGTTAAAGAAGAAAATTAGTCTATTTTTACGCAGTTCCACTCTTCAGTCGATGAAATTGAAAGGAGCTGACAGCAAACAGTTCTCTGGGGTAACTGCAAAGAAAACTCCTGGCGTGCAACATTCAGCTTCAGCACTTTGTTTATTCTGGTGAAACTTCCCCCACATATGGACAGTTTCTGTTTGTCTGATGTGGAGAACACACTCCATACCAGATGACCAAAGTAACATCCCTATGTGGATGCTACCCCGTGTCAGGGTACTATATAACTACAAGTTGCGTTTGTGTGGATCTATGGCTGGTTTGGATATTCTGAAGGACGAAGGTGATAGGTTTGCACATTGGTCAAAAAATAGGCAAGGATGGGCATTTTTGCTGCTTACAGGACGAGACATTGTTATATGCATTTTGGACCATTAATTATCACGTTCAACACTGCAAAGGTCTGACTGGAATAAAAACTGCAGTCCAGTTGAGAGCAGTAAGATATATGCAGTATATTCAATCAAGCAGAGCATTTCCCCAAACATATGCAGATTGCACTCTCAGAGACAGAAACTATGCACTTCTGCACTTAAATTTAAATTTATTCATAGAACTCTACAAATACTGAGCTAAGCTGTGACAGTGTAGGTTTATGCAATTATATATCCAGAGATGAAAAGGTGCGAAAATATTGGCATAATTGTGCACAATATAGCAAACCAGTTTGAAAGCTGGAAAGGGAATGTGGCCCTTGAAGAATTACAACACCAACTTGCATTTGTATAGCGTCTTGGAGCGCTGCACAATTGTGGGGTTTGATACTGAGCAAGGGAGAAGGGGCAGAGAGGGCTGACCAAAGGCACGGTTGAAGAGGTAGGTGTTAAGGAGGAATTTAAAGATAGTGAGGGGGGGCGAGGTAGAGGGATTAAGGCATAGTTCCAGAGATTAGGGGTGTAGTAGCTGAAGCAGTCTATTTGGGCACAAACAGGAGTGAATAAGTTTTTAAAAGAATTTGGAATCTTCCTATGAGAAAGAAAACTCCTGTTTGGAATTATTTTTGTCATCTCCCTTGGGTACCAACTCGCTATCATGCTCGCATTTAACTCTGGGCTTTCCTGTTGTGCCAAATGCACTGCTGTACCTGCTTGGCTTTTGAATCTGACGGTGTGACTCACCTTTCAGCCATTTTTCAGCAGCGCTCAGCATGGCTTCCCTCTGCTTGCTGTAAAAGTCTATCACTCTGTGGTAAAAATAAAAACAAATGTAATTCAGCATTGCTGAAGTCCCGACATGTGGCTCGAACGTACAGCCATTGAAAGCAAGAGCCAAGCTGAAACTGCACATCTTTCCACTTGAGTCTAGACCAATGTTTCCCAAATGAAGCCTTGTGATTTTGTGAGGCCACTGGGGGAGGGTGTGTGTACGTGCTTTGTGTGGAGCACAGGGCATGCCGGCCCTTGGAGAGGGGGATGCGGCGGGTGAGTTTTGTTAGGTTTGAGTGGTGCCTTCAGTGATTCCCTCCCCCTCCGGCTGGATTTGGTTCACTTGTTGACAGGATTAGTGCACCAGCAGTTTTTTTTTAAATATAAAAATAAAAGAAAAACATATTGCTTTGTCAGGGTTAAATACCTGCACACAGTGCAGCCGCTTCCTACACTCACAGGGCAGGTTTCTTCGTATCCCGGTTTAGACACTGGAAATGTTGGGAGGTATGAAGAGGTAGAGCTGAATTTCCATACCTGTGACTTCTCCCAACATTTCCCCGTAAACCCATGAAATTCACTAAATTTACCATGACTGCTGCATGATTTTTGACAACAAACACCGAGCCAATGATAATAATCCTTGCATTTGATATAGCGCCTTATCACATTATCAAGATGTCTCAAAGCACTTCACAGGATATACTGTACAGTGAATTGTGTATTTTGTGGGCAAAACATGGCAGACAGTTTTGTACAGCAGTGTTGCACAAATCATAGAGTGAGTGAGCAATTTTATTTGAAGGATTTGTTGGCCAGGACACCAGGAGAAACTCCTTTATCATTTTTAATAGCACAATGGGATCTTTAACCTTGACCTGAAAAGGCAGACAGCACTTCAATTTCATGTCTCATCCGAAAGACAAGAGCACATTAGTATTGCAAGCTTAGTTACAGCACAGTGGTTTTACAGGATTAGACTAGGTGGGAATCTGGGCCTCTGAATGTCCAGTTAATTTAACTCTGAACACGTAATTACATAGACTCATCAATGCTATTCATCCAAAATGTCCAGATCTTTAGAACTTTGCTGCTCAGTTAAGTTTCTGCAAGGTTTGCAGAGCACAGTATTGCGAGGACACAGTATTGAACATGGGAGTCCTGCCAAATCGATGACAAGAAAAAAAATAAGGAAATAAAAGAATTGGGAATTTATTTATTGTTCTAATTCTTTTCTTCATTGAGATACTCCTCTATGTGATGCACTTGGCTGCAGAGGGTGCCACTGCCAAGCCTGTCCGCATGTAATAATAATAATAATATTATTATTATATATATATAATGCTATATCCTTGCATTTGATATAGCGCTTTTCACGTCGGGAGGACGTCCCAAAGCGCTTCACAGAATATACTGTAAAGTGAATTGACTGTATATTTGTGGGCGAACGCGGCAGCTAATTGCGCACAGCAATGTACACTACTGAAGAGGGATGACATTTATATACTAGCAATACCTGACTAACTAACCTAAGGAAACAAAAGTCACTAACTACTACGTACAGATATAAATTGTTGCTGACATTCCATAAAGTTAAATAGATAGAGCAGGAGACCGCTGAGAAGCGGTCTCTACAAAATTTTCTACAAAATAACTTTTATTAATAACTTTCTGGAAAAGTAACTTTCTAGAAAATCATAACAAGGCAAAAAACAATTCAGTATGCACAATTCTTGGCCTAATAATAACCAAACAAGTTAACAAAAATAAACACTATATGTTTTTAACACTAATGTTAGCTGAGTCTACATGAGCACGTGAGCCTGAATACGAACCAACGTGATCATGGTTAATTCATTGAGAAGGGTTAAAAAATGTATATTAAAGAAAATGGAAAGCAAAAATCTCCATCTGGGTCCCCCCATCCCACCAACATTTCAATATGTACACGGGGATATAGCCAGGCAACAACAACAAATTACACTTGTATAGCACCCTTCATGTCCGTGTCCAGAGACTCAGCTAGCATTAGTGTTAAATGTTTGGAAACTTTACCTGTCAACATGCTCCAGAAAGCCACTCTTGCCCCATTGTTGAAGTAGTTGCATTACCAAGAGCTGCAATGGAACACATGTTAACCATAAATGTGTTATCGTGCTTCTGTGGAAATAATAATAATCCTTGCGTTTGACGTAGCCCCTTATCACATCTTTGAGACATCTCAAAGCGCTGCATGGAATATACTGTAAAGTGAATTGACTCTATATTTTGTGGGCGAAATGTGGCAGCCAATTGTGCATAGCAGTGTCCCACAAACAGTCGTGGATTGAGTGACCAATTTTTTTTGAAGGAATTACTCCTGGAAAAGCAATCCGCCAATCAACTAACAACCAGGTTCCTACTTACAACAACAACAAAATTTCATTTGTAGAGTGGCTTTCACATTGGGAGGACATCCCAAGGCGCTGGACAGACAGAGTTACGGACCCGAGCTGAGGGTCGGTGTGAGGGGTGGGGCGAGACAGAGGGACTGCGGGATGGAGTTCCAGAGGGTGGGTGCAAAATGGCGGAAGGCCGCCCGCTGATAGTGGGGCGAGCAAGGCAGGGGACGTGAAGCAGGCTGGAGCCCGCTGAGCGGAGGGAGTGAACAGGGTGTTACGGGGTTAGGAGGTTGGTGAGGTGGGGGGGAGCAAGACCACGGAAGGCTTTGAAGGTGAAGACCAGGATCTTGAACTGTATCCTCTGTGTGATAGTGGGGCGAGCAAGCCAGTGGAGTAAGGCGAGGATGGGGGTGAAAGGGTCACGGAGTCTAGTGTGGGAGAGGACACGTGCTGCAGAGTTCTAGATGATCTGCTGTTTGTGGAAGGAGGAGTTGGGGAGGCCGACAAACAGTGAGTTTGCATAGTCGAGCCTCGATGTAATGAAGGCATGTACGAGGGTTTCAGTGGCCTGTGGTGTGAGACAGTGTTGGAGCCGGCCGACGTTGCGGAAGTGGGGGAAGGCAGAGGAGGTCATGGCGCAGATGTGGGGTAGAAAGGATAGTTGAGGGTCAAACAAGACCCCAAGGTTCCGGACTGGCTTAGTAAGGTGGAGTGTGCATCCATGGATGGTGATGATGTTATGTTTACCAGGTAAACAGAGGCGTGTGGATAAGGAAATTTGCCTAATATTTTGTCCTACCAGGAATCAAACCCAGGTCTCTTGCTTGTGAGGCGAATGCTCTAACCACTGAGCTACAGGACTGCACATAACAGTGGTAAATGCTGTAGCGTAACACAAGTGGTAACCAGTATACAAGTGTAAACCATTCACAAGATCGGTGCGGGTGAAGACGACTCTTTGGCCCAAAGGCGTGCTATATTAAATGCAAGGATTATTACCATATTCTCCAACGTGGATGGCACTATATAAAAGTAGACTGAGTAGTCAACAATAATAATTGTGGAGTTCTGTAGCTCAGTGGTTAGAGCACTCGCTTTGCAAGTGAGAGACCTGAGTTCAATTCCAGGCAGAGGGCGAAACCTTGGGCAAGTTTCCTTACTCCACACAGAGTCTAATAATAATCCCTCCAAAAAACAAAAACAATAATAAATTGGTCATTTTCAACCTACGACTGTTTGTGGGACATTGCTGTGCGCAATTGGCTGCCGTGTTTGCCCACAGATATACAGTCAATTCACTTTACAGTGTGTTCCGTGAAGCGCTTTGGGACGTCCTCCCGACGTGAAAAGCGCTATATCAAATGCAATTGATATAGTGCTTTTCATGTCTTCTAGATGCCTCAAAGCGCTTCACAGAATATTCTGTAAAGTGAATTACCGTATATTTGTGGGGGAAACGCGACAGCCAATTACAGTTAAAGGAATCCACATGACTGTATAGAAATCAAGAGATCATTTACAGTGGAATGTGACTGGACCTACTGATTTTGTTTTGCAGAAATAGAATATTTATGTTATTTGGCTGCTTAAATATTTAATTCTACCTTCTACTGACTTCATCCCAATGGGGATTAATATACTTACTCTTAATTAGCATTTATTTTCCCAGCTCTTAGGCACAAATCAATTTCATACATCAGAAAAAAAAATTAATCAGAGGAATAGGCAAGGATTATGCAAGTCGACATCAATTATTCATGGTTATCAATTATTGAATTATCTATTGTTAATTAAATTAATTGTTTAAAGTCATTTGATCATTTATTTGGCCAGATTACATGTTCCTGATGTTTGGCTTGCAATGTTCCCATTCCAGGGTTTGTCTATTCCAACCTGTCGGTGGTTATTAAGAACTGGCAACCTTGGGGCAGGAGAAACATTCATAGCAAAGAGCAAGACCAAACAAGAGCTAAGGTAAGGAACTAGGAATACAACAACAACTTGCACTTATACAACACGCTTCACACAGGTTAGGATCTCAGACAGATTTCATTTTCCCATCAAGCTATTTCTTAAATGAATTAATTGGCCTAGCCTCTACCACCATTTCTGGCAGCCTGTTCCTCCTGTGTGCAATGAAATATCTCCAGACGTCTAGCTTGAAACTGCCTTTCAAACCCTCTGCCTGACACTCTACTGAAGGATGGACAAATTGGCTGAGTCGCGGGCCAGCGAGCGGTAGGACCTCGAAAACCCAGGTAAACTGAGTGGGACTCGGGAAGGTAAGTCAGACAGTGGCAGGGAGTCACAGGGCTGGTCTCCCAGGGATCGGGACCAGCGTTAGCCAGAGCGGGGGCCGGGGTCCCAGGGATCGGGGCTGGCGTTAGGTAGAGGCAGGGGCTCTCACCTCAGCCAAATCAGCCTTCTATTCCAGGTTAATCCTGGAGGTGAAAGGCAATCCCAGTCTCCTGTTCTTCACCACTAACCGGATCCTCTGCCCTCCCCGACATGCCTCGCAGATACTTTCCTCTGACTCTCACTGCGAGAAAATGTTGGACATCCTCAAGGGAATCCGCTCAGCTGCCACTGCTCTTTCAACTTCCAAACCCTGCCTACCCCCACCCGATACAATTACCCATCCGTCCTTCCACAGCTTTGAACCTATCACCCCCTCCTCTGTCTTCAACACGGTAACCTCCATGAAATCCACGACCTGCTCCCTCGACCCCATCCCTACCCCTCTCTTTAAATCCCAGCTCCATCTCCTTGCCCCACTACTCGCCGACACCATGAACGCCTCCAATCGGGTTTCCGTGCTGCCCACAGCTCTGGTCAAGGTCACAAACGACATCCTGACCATGTGTGGCCAGGGCTCCCTCTGCCTCCTCCAACTCTCCGCTGCCTTTGACACTGTGGACCACTCAATCCTCCTCCACCGCCTCTTCTCCCACCTTAACCCTCAAGGTTCTGTCCTTGACTGGTTCAGGTCCTACCTTTCACACCGCCTCCACTTCTTCGCAGCAAACGGCTTCCCCTCCAGCCCCCACACTGTCTCGTGCGGTGTTCCTCAGGGCTCTGTCCTCGGTCCCCTCCTCTTCACCCTCTACATGCTCCCCCTTGGTGACATCATCTGCAGACATGGGGTAAATTTCCACATGTATGCGGATGACACCCAACTCTATCTCTCTGCTTCCACCCTGAACTGCAGGACTACTGGCGTCCTGACCGACTGCCTGTCCGACATCAAGTCCTGGACAAGGGCCAACTTTCTCCAATTCAACATCAGCGAGACCGAGGCCCTCCTGATTGTCTTGCGCCAGTGCCTCCGCACCTCAGGCGCTGGCACCATCAGCCTTCACAGCTGTACACTCAACCTCACTAACCCAGTCAGGAACCTGGGTATCTTGTTTGACCCTGAACTGTCCTTTCTCCCCCACATCCGCGCCATGACCAGCACTGCCTACCACCACCTTCACAATATTGCCAGACTCCGCCACTGCCTCACCCCTCAGGCTCCGAAACCCTAACCCACGCACCACATCAAGGCTCGATTACGGGAACTCCCTCCTCATCGGCCTTCCCAACTCTTCCCTTCACAAGCTGCAGATCATCCAAAACTCTGCAGCTCATGTACTTTCACGCATCAGGCTCTGTGACCCCATCACTTTCACCCTCGTCCGAATCCACTGGCTCCCCATCCCCCAGAGGATCAAGTTCAAGATCTCGTCTTCATCTTTAAGGCCATCCATGGTGGCCAGGTTTATAGCCTCTCTGCCCCCACACTCTGGAACTCCATCCCACGGTCCTTTCACCTCGCTTCTTCCCTTGTCTCCTTCAAGGCCGGTCTCAAGACCCTTCTCTTCGACCGTGCCTTTGGTCTCCTTCCCACCTCCCTGCCTTCCCTCACCCCTACACCACCCCTCCCCCATGCTCGGGCCCCAACACCTGACTGTTTAGCGCTTTGGGACGTCCTCCGACGTGAAAGGCGCTCTATAAATGTAATTTTGTTGTTGTTGTTGCTGCATTCGCCCATAAAATACAGTCACTACTCTTTACAATGTATATAGCAATTCTTGTATTAATATATCAAGTGGAAGGACCTCTTCCTCTTCACATCGTTGAGATGTCTCAAAGCACATGCAAGTGTATGCATTTTGTGGGCAAAATACCTGGGAAAAGCTTTTAAATGTTCTCATGTGAAAGTACTATATCAAACTTGAGGATTATTATTATTATAATGCAAATTACAATACTTTGACTGTGGTTGAATATCGATGTATATTATGGTGTGAATCAGAGTAAATTCACTCACTCACCTGTGTGAAGGTACTGGTGTGCAGTGTTGAGGATTGAATATGTAGAATGATTCTGTCAATAAGTGGTTTGGGACCCGTCAGGAAACCTAGCCTCAACCTGTTGGAGAAACAAGTACAGAACAAGATACAACATTGGTTTGGATGAAGAAGGCCCTTCGGCCCATCGGACTTCATCTTTCCGGAACCCCCAATCCCCGGATCAAATGATTTTTTTNAATGAAAGCTGTTATAGATTATTATTTAAATTCCACATTCTACCTAAAAGCTAAGATCCATCACTGCACAATCTGCTTTTTGAATGAATCTGGTGTCCTGGCCTCTACCACCTTTCCTAGCAACACATTCCAGTCATCACTGTCTGGAACATAGGAAAAGGAAAAGGCCATTCAGGACCTCAAGCCTGTTCCACCATTCTATAAGAACATGGCTGATCTGTACCCCAACTACAATTACCCACTTTTGCTCCATATCCCTTGATACCGTTACTTAAAAATGTTTCCTGCTGCTTGTCATACTAGGACTATCCTACCCATTTGGCTTTGGCTTGCAGGGTTAAGATTAACAGGCGCTGAGTGGACCTCTCGCCATGTTCGACACAGTCGATCACGCCATCCTCCTCCACCGTATGTCCTCCATCATCCAACTCAGTGGGACCGCACTCGCTTGGTTTGAGTCCTACCTTACAAACCGCCAACACTACATTTCTGCAAATGGCTTTTCTTCGCGCTTCCACTCGGTCACTTGCGGTGTACCCCAAAGATCCATACTTGGCCCTTCCTCTTCCTCATCTATATGCTCCCTCTCGGTGATGTCATCCATAGACATGGGGTTCACTTCCACATGTATGCAGATGACACTCAACTCTACTTCTCCACCTCCAGTTGCAACCCCCAGTCCCCTGATGTTCTGTCAGCTTGTCTGTCAGACATCAAGAGCTGGATGTGCAAATTTCCTGCAATTAAACATCAACAAGATGGAAGCCATACTCTTTAGTTCTCGCTGACGTCTTCTGTCCCACGGTTCTGACCTCCTCAACCTACCTGACCTGTTCTACAACTCATCGAACCCGTGTGCAACTTAGATGTCAGGGTCGATCTTCAGTTATCCTTCCTCCCCCACATCCAGTCCCTGACCAGCACCGCTTTCCTCCACCTCTGCCACATTGGCCGTATCCGACAATACCCCACCCCAAAAGCTGCTGAAACCCTTGTCACCTCTCGGCTGGATTACTCTAATGCCCTCCTCGCTGGTCTCTCCTCCTCCACTATTCACAAAATTCAGCTCATTCAAAGCTCTGCCGCCCGATTTCTCACCCGCACCAGACTTCATACCCTGATTGCTCCAGTCCTTGCCAACTCCATTGGTTCCGTCACGGAGCGGATTGACTTCAAGATCCTCACTCTAGTGTTTAAATCCCTCCATTCCTTGGCACTCCCCTATCTGTCTAACCTCCTCTCTCCCAACAGCAGTACCCGCTGCCTCCGCTCTACTGGATCCTGCCTCTTCCGCATCCCCTGAATCCTCCGCTACACCATCGGCGGCCTACCCGCCAAAACATTGGAACCCCCTCACTCAATCCCTTCACCTCGCCCCCTCCTTCCCCATCTTCAGATCATGCCTGAAGACTTTCCTCTTCAACCGCATCTATGGTCACCTCCCTTCTCCCTCTGGCTCGACCTTGGGCTCCGTTAAGTGCTGTTAAATGTTCTGAGATGCCATCCGGCATGGAGGGCACTATATAAATGCAAGTTGTTGTTCTTGTGGAGTGGGATGATTCCCTGCCCCCAGTGACTTATCTGTCCTTCCAAGTCCTGCCGATGTCATCAGCAGTGGCCTCGATTACTCTCTGGGCAAAGAAAAACTTCCTGGTATCTATCCTTTCTGAAACTTCCTTAAATTGCCCTTGTTCTACTGCCCTAAAGCACTGATCTGACTTTACTTTTTTAATCCCATTTAAAATTTTATACTCCTGCATGGTGTCCCCTCTGAATCGTCGGCTCTCAAGACTAAAGAGCCCTAGCTTGTCTTAATGTTGCTCATAGGCTAGCTCGAACATCCTTGTTGCTCACCTCTTCACTGCCTCTAGGTCCTGGGCATCTCCCTTATATCAGGGTAACCAGAACTGAATACAGTTTTCAAGGTGTGGTTTGACCAGAGCACTGTGCAGCCTGACTGATTTATGAGGATCTAACCTCAATTGATTTAGCAATATAGCCCAACATCCTGTTTGGCTTGTTTATTGCTGCATCACATTGTTTTGATACAGTGAGCCTCGAGTCAAGTAACATCCCTGGATCTCTTTCAGCTTCCCCGTTGGCACCTTCAATCCCGTCCAGGAAGCACTTGTGTTTCATATTCTTGGATCCTATATGTAGTACCTTGCAATATCAGTAATAAACTTAACTTTCTAGTTATCAGTCCATGTGTATACCTTATCAAGTTCTCTTTGTAGGACCTTTGCTGCCTCTTCTGATTTCACAGTCCCCATCCCCCCAACTTGGTGTCAGCTGCTAATTTACCTATGTTTCACTGGGTCTGCAAATCTAGGTTATTAATATATAACAGGAAGGGAACCAGTACAGACCCTTGAGACATCCTACTTAAATACCACTCCCTATTTTGACCTAGCAAAGCTCTCTGCTTCCTTCCATTCAGTCAATTCTGAATCCATCCCAATGTCTTGTCCTTGATAACATAAGTTGTCTCAGTTTGTGAAGGAGTCTTTTGTGAGATACTTTATCAAATGACTTTTGGTGTTAAATGCAACACTGCAGCACATTTTGCTTTAACTGAGGCTGGCTCTTGATCACTGTTCATTCAGTGCTCCTGGGAAGTGTGTATGTTTGTGTGTCAGATAATGTCAGAGATTCAGCTGAGCTGCACATCTCCAAGTGGTTATGCTGCTGCCCTCTCAGTTACACATGAAAAACTGACCACTCATACGAAGTACTGGAAAACAGCTGCAGCCTGCGTACTGACCTTGTTCCCTTTGGGAATAATACTAATAATAATTCTCACATTCGATGTAGTGCCCTTCACGTCAAGTCATCTCAAAGAACTTCACAGGATATACTGTAAAGTATAGTGAGTGTATATTTTGTGCATGAAAAACAGCAGCCAATTGCACACAGCAGTGTCCCACAAACAGTTGTGGATTGAAGTGACCAAATTATTATTATTTTTTTTTTAAATGATCATTACCCCCGGAAAAGCGATCCGTCAATTGACTAACTGGGTTCCTACTTACTGCTAGGTAAACAGACGAGTAAGAAAACAAAAATTTCAGCCTGCCAGGAATCAAACCCAGATCCGCACATTTGCAAGGCAAGTGATCTAACCAATACGTAACAGGACTCCACAGGAATGAGGCAGTTATTCATATTAACTTTCATAAAGGAACTAGATAAATACCTAAAAAGGAGTCAACTAATGGGGTTTGGGGAAAGAGCAGGTAAATGGGATTGAAAGGATTGTTTTTTAAAAGAGCCAGCACACCCACAATGTGCTTCTGTGGTGTAAATTTATATTGTTCTCCGTCATATAGCAAGCCAGTTTTGAGGGCCTGAATAGCCTTTTTGCAACCAGAACTTTCCGTTCTCCTGAACTTTGTTACTACTCTTCCCATTGATCTGGTTTAATATTGATTTGAACCTGCTGAATTTTTTTTGTGATAATTAAGTAACATTGGATTGAGATTTCTTTTCAGATTTTAAACATGATGCCCTTGCCCACTCTTACAGACAAGAGTCTATTCCTACAAACTGCAGAAAGGAAAGTAACTCACATAATAGCTACGTTCTCTTACCCTGAAGACAAGATCTTTGAGAAGGAGTCTGACCTCATGACTCTGCCATCAACATCCATAGATAGGAATGATGGAGCCCAAGGCTGTAGATGAAAACACACGAATGGCCATTAATCACAGAAAAATCATTCTGTGCATATTTTAATAATGTCACCAATTAAGGTCTAAACCCAAGTTCCACCATTAATATTGCTTTTTCCTTTTAAAAAAAAAGTTTACAACAGGTTAGGATTAAATGTGTGTTTTCATTTTATTCTTTGCGCTTTATTCTAAAGCAAAATTGGATTTTCTGTTTAAAAAATAATGGAAGCACTTTGCTCTGACCCGAACCTCCCTCCCTCAGAGCTGAGGTCTCTGGAGTTTCCATCAGAAAACTCAGTTTGCCTTCGTGGGATGTTTTGTCCTGCGACAAGGTCCAGATGATGCCAGCGCTTTCCAGGTCAGTGTTTTTTCCCACCCCCATCGTTATCAACCAGCAGTTGAAGTGACACAAAGTAAATAGCTTTTGGATATTGATTCAGTTCCTTCACAGTGAAGGGTTAGAAAAAAAACCTCAAATCTAATTCTTCTAATGCCTCCTATGCAGCCAATGTTTCAAACGTACAGTACGAACATACAGATCTACTCACCTTTAAAGCCCTCCACGGTCTTGCTCCACCCCACCTCTGTAACCTCCTAAAACCCTACCAACCTGTCCTCTCCCTCCGCTCAGTAAGTACTGGCCTGCTCCACGTCCCCCTGTACTGCCCCTCTACCATCGGCGGTCGGACCTTTAGCCTTTCTGTCCCCACCCTCTGCACCACCATCCCGGAACCCCTCCACCTTGCCCCCTTCCTTACCTCCTTCAAGACCTGCCTCTTCAACCCCATTTTTGCGCATCCTCCTGGCCATGCCCCTACCCCCAACCCCACCAACATTCTTGACTCCAGCCCACAGCACGAATCAAACCCTTAACTATCCAGAGCTTTGGAACGTCGTCCCAATTTGAAAGGAACTATATAAATACATGTTGCTGTTGACGTAGATGATATGTGGTGGGAGTCTACTATTTCCAACAGAAACACAAACATAGAAAAACTACTAGGACCATTAAGTTGAAAATGTGAGCTCTTTGTTCCTGCGACCAAGCTGGTTTGAGTGCTTACCTGTTCAAACTGAAGAAAGTAGTAGGGATCGTCTTCTATTATCAATAAATCATACTTTCTGGCAATCTGCAAAAAAATAAAGTATGCTCTGAAATAAAGTCCTGGCCAATAATTCCACCAAATAAAACTATGTCACTCACTTCATGACTGTTTGTGTGACATTCATGACATTGCTGTGTGCAAATTGACTGCCGCATTGGCCTACAAATCACAGTTCATTACACTTTACAGTGAATCCTGCAAAGCATTTTGAGATGTCCTTGCAAGCTAAAAGGCGCTATGTAAAAAACAAGGATTATTATTGTTATACTGTAATCTGAAACCAATATGACCAGCGACAATGAATAAATCACCGGCTGCAATTTTCACCTCATTCATCAGGAAATGTTGGTTCTACCGTACCTGATAGATCTCCCTTTTCCTTCTCTCAGTCATGGAGGCTCCGGTCGGATTGCAACCATTTGGGATGGTGTACAACACTCTTGGAATATCGCAACGTGGATCCTTAGCATCTTCTGGCTTCCATTTCGAAAGAACATCCAAGAGGCTTTGTGGGATCATTCCATGCTGATCATTCGAGATGCTGAGGATTTTACAGCCCAGAGGTATGAGCTGCGCAAGACAGGGTAAAAGCAATGGTTACTAATCATTCATTCTTTGTCATAAGCATGGTAAATTCTGTGTAGTGAGACTCACACTCATCTCTGGCTTCATGCAATCATTGCCAATCAGATATTTGGCATTGGTTTGTTGAACTTGGAATTCAGAATAGACATCATTACTTTGAACATTCCCGAATCACTTGATTCATGAGCAATGGATGTGCATGTACTTATGGACCACTTCCTCATCTCCTTCTCCTCTCGCATCCCTCTCCCCCCCATCAAGACCTTAACCATACTTTTCTGCCCATGGAAAAGGCTTCCCACCGAGATCCTCACAAAGGCCTTCTCATCCTCAGATCTCCTACACCTCTGGCCTTCCACTCGCAGCGACCTTGAAGCAGCCATCAAGCTGCCCCATAATCACCTCTCCTCCACTTTCAACTCCCTCGTCCCACTGAAATCCAGGACCATCTCCAAACCCATCTGATCCCCCTGGTACAACAGCCATCTCCGCTCCCTAAAATCCCAAACCCGGTTGCTCAAGCTCATGTGGCAAAAACCCAGCCTCATGGTTCACCACCAACTGTGACTTGAAGACCTTCACAACTACCGCCACTCCCTGTCGAAAGCAAAAACTGCGCCCTACTCAAACATCATACTGGAGGACAACAATAATTCCAAAATCCTATTCTCCGCCACCCACCACCTCCTCCGTGCGGCCCCTCAAGCTCCCTCAATCATCACATCTAACGCCAAGTGCCAAAAGGTCATGGACTTCCTTACCTCTAAAATTGACAACATCCGCCTGGCAGCTTCATCCTTCTGCTCCCACTTGGTGACATCATCCGCAGACGGGATAAATTTCCACATGTATGCGGACGACACCCAACTCTATCTCTCTGCCTCCACCCTGAACTCCAGGACAACTGGCATCCAGACCGACTGCCTGTCCGACATCAAGTCCTGGATGAGAGCCAACTTTCTCCAATTCAACATCAGCGAGACCGAGGCCCTCCTGATTGTCTTGCGCCAGCGCTTTCGCACCTCAGGCGCTGACAGCATCCTCCACGGCTGCACACTCAACCTCACTAACCCAGTCAGGAACCTGAGTATCTTGTTTGACCCTGAACTGTCCTTTCTCCCCACATCCGCGCCATGACTGACACTGTCTACCACCACCTCCGCAACATTGCCAGACTCCGCCACTGCCTCACCCCTCAGGCTCCGAAACCCTCACCCACACATTCGTCACATCAAGGCTCGATTACAAGAACTCCCTCCTCATCGGCCTTCCCAACTCTTCCCTTCACAAGCTGCAGATCATCCAAAACTCTGCAGCTCATGTACTCTCACGCACCAGGCTCCGTGACCTCATCACTCCCACCCTCGCCCGACTCCACTGACTCCCCATCCCCCAGAGGATCGAGTTCAAGATCTCGTCCTCACCTTCAAGGCCATCCATGGCCTTGCCCCCTCCTACCTCTCTGACCTGCTGATCCCTTCCAACCTGCCCACTCCCTCCGTTCTTCGGGCTCCGGCCTACTCCATGTCTCCCGCCCAACCTGCCCTACTATCGGTGGCCGGGCTTTCAGCCTCTCTGCCCCCACACTCTGGAACTCCATCCCACGGTCCCTTCACCTCGCTTCCTCCCTTGCCTCCTTCAAGGCCGGTCTCAAGACCCTTCTCTTCGACCGTGCCTTTGGTCTCCCTCCCACCTCTCTGCCTTCCCTCACCCCTACACTACCCCTCCCCCATGCTCGGGCCCCAACACCTGACTGTTCAGCGCTTTGGGATGTCCTCCCGACGTGAAAGGCGCAAACAACAACAACAACAAAATGTAATTTTGTTGTTGTTGTTCTGTCCCTTGCCACCTACCACCACTCCTTTTCGGTCTCCCTAACCCACCCCGCCCTCAGCTCTTACCATGGCCCCATCCTACATTCATTTGTCCCCATCTCTCCTTCCTCCCTATATCCACTATCACCACAATGAAACCTACCACCTGCTGCCTCGACCCCCTCCCCACCCAACTGCTGATCACTCAGCTCCCCCTCCTCTGCCCACTGCTGGCAGACACTATTAACCAGTCGCTCACCTCAGGATCAGTCCCACTCACCCTCAAGACCACGTCATCACCCACCTCCTTAAAAAACCTACCCTCGATCACTCTAACCTCGGCCACTAGTGCCCTATCTCAAACCTGCCCTTCCTTGCCAAAGCTCTGGAATGCGTTGTTGCTGACCAGCTTTGCGCACACCTCTCCCTCCACACCTTACTCGAACTACTCCAGTCCAGTTTCCATCCTGGCCACAGTACAGAGAGAGTGCTCGTGAAAGTCACAAACGATATCCTCTCTATCTGTGACCAGGGCTCCCTCTGCCTCCTTGTCCTCCTGGACCGCTCCGCCGCATTCGACACAGTCGATTGTGCCATCCTCCTCCACCGCCTTTCCTCCATCATCCACCTCAGTGGGACCGCACTCACCTGGTTCAAGTCCTACAAACCGCCAGCGCTACATTTCTGCAAATGGCTTTTCTTCGGGCTTCCATCCGGTCACTTGCAGTGTACCCCAAGGATACATCTTTGGCCCCCTTCTCTTCCTCATCTATATGCTCCCTCTCGGTGATGTCATCCATAGACATGGGGTTCACTTCCACATGTATGTGGATGACTACTTTTCCACCTCCAGTTGCAACCCCCAGTTCCCTGATGTTCTGTCAGCTTGTCTGTCAGACATCAAGAACTGGATGAGCGCAAATTTCCTGCAGTTAAACATCAACAAGACGGAAGCCATACTCTTTGGCTCCTGTTGACATCTTCTGTCTCATGGTTCCGACCTCCTCAACCTACCCGACCTGTCCTTAAAAATCTCTGAACCCGTGCGTAACTTAAGCATCAGGTTTGATCCCCAGTTATCCTTCCTCCCCCACATCCAGTCCCTGACCATCACCGGTTTCTTCCACCTCCGCCACATTGCCCGAATCCGACAATACCTCACCCCAAAACCTGCCGAAACCCTTTTCCATACCTTTGTCACCTCTCGGCTGGATTACTCTAATGCCCTCCTCACTGGTCTCCCCTCCTCCACTATTCACAAAATTCAGCTCATTCAAAACTCCGCCGCTCGCATTTTCACCTGCACCAAACTTCTTATCCCGATTACCCCAGTCTTTGCCAAACTCCACTGACTCCGTGTCACAGAGCGAATCAACTTCAAGATCCTCACTCTAGTGTTTAAATTCCTTCATTCCTTGGCAGCGCCTTATCTCTCTAACCTCCTCTCTCCCCACAGCAGTACCCGCCAGCTCCACTCTACTGGGTCCGGCCTCCTCTGCATCCCCCGAATCCTTGGCTCCATCATCAGCATCCGTGCCTTCAGCCACTAACCCCCGAAACTTTGGAACTCCCTCCCTCAATCCCTTTGCCTCGTTCCTCCTTCCCCATCTTCAGGTCGCGCCTGAAGACCTTCCTTTTCGACCGTGTCTATGGTCACCTCCCCCCCTCCCCCTCCCCCTGGCTCGGTCTTGGACTCCACCATTGTTAAGCACTCCGAGATGCCGCCCAGCTTGGAGGGCACTATATTAATGCAAATTGTTTTTGTTGTTGTTGCTTGAGCTATACTGTAACCTCAGTGTTCAAGCAAATGGTCTCCACAACAGAGTCCAAATGGTGGTCAAAAATGGTATTGAAATATCGAAAACAGCTGATAATAGGGCCGATGGGGTCCTGACTTCACAACACACAGACCATACACAGTATGCAAATTGGCTGCCACATTTGTCTATAAATACACAGTCATTACACTTCACAAGAATGTCCTAATTTGAAAATTGCTACATCAAATGTATGGATTACTATTATTATTACTATAGACAATTGCAAACAATTACTTTATTCCTCTTGCCATGAGAAACAAACAATAGGACTTCAAGACTAGTCATTGCATTAGTAGGAAATAGCAACTTTGGTACGATGGAGCACGGAAAGAAACAATTTAAATTTTCCAATTTAAATTTTAATAGATTTCTTAACTAGGAAATTGGCTGGGAAGGGAGGGAGTTAGATATTTGTTTCTGCAGGTCACATCACGGATTTCCAGATTTGTTAATTATGAAATCTGTGAGGAAATATTGCAAAATTAACCCAAGATTTAAATGATATCGTTGAACGGTGTGGAACAAATCTTATATTTTTTNAAAAAGAGTGTTTTGTGTTCCAGTATGGCATATATTACAGGTGATTTCAGCCTACACAAAGTAGGTTCAGATACATTCTGGTTCGGATTCATTAGTATATAGCAGCAACTGAAATTCCAGAAGAATTGAGGGTTAAAAAGTAACCAATATAGTTAAAAATATGTGTAAAATAAGCAGAAATGGTATGTAATCACAGTAACAGAAATACCCAAGAGATGAGTGAAGATCATCCTGGAGCTGGGAAAACCAGGAACTTTGATTTAAAGATTAGCTTAGCAGGGGTTAAAAGTAGCTTTGCTGGACGGGCTGAGGTTAGCTTCTGATTACGTTTCATATTTTCCTGGGAAGATGTTCTCTCCTCTGAGATAATGAGCGGTTGGGTAATTGAGCATAGATGTAAGAACAATGGATCACAGAAAGAGCATAAGAAGTAGGAGGAGTAGGCCATTCAACTGCAGCTGTACAAGGCCTTGGTGAGACCGCACCTAGAATATGGTGTGCAGTTTTGGTCTCCTTATTTAAAAAAGGACATACTCTTGTACTCTAACCCTTTTGTGATGAATGCCAACATGACATTAGCCTTCCTAGTTGCTTGCTGTATCTGCATACTACCTTTTCGTGACTGGTGCACAAGGACACCCAAATCCCTCTGAACACTAACACTATCTAGTCTCTCCCCTCTCTAGAAAATAATCCGCTTTTCTATTTTTACTACATAGGTGAATAACTTCACACTTCCCCACCTTACACTCCATCTGTCACCTTCTTGCCCACTCACCTACCCTGTCTATTTCCCTTTGCATTCTTCTTGTGTCATTCTCACAGCTTACTCTCCCACCTATCTTCGTATCGTCCACAAAGTTAGATATATTAAGTTCTATTTCCTTATCTAAATTGATGTAGACTGTAAATAATTGAGATCCAAGCACTGATCCTTGTGGCACTCCACTAGTCACATCCTGCCAATCTGAGAAGGACCCTACTCTCTGTTTTCTTCCTGTTAGCCACTCTCCAATCCACGCTAATATATAATAATAATAATCCTTGCATTTGATATATCGGTTTTCACGTCTTCTAGACATCTCAAAGCACTTCACAGAATATACTGTAAAGTGAATTGACTGTAATAGTAATAATAATAATAATCCTTGCATTTGATATAGCGCTTTTCACGTCGGGAGGACGTCCCAAAGCGCTTCACAGAACACACTGTAAAGTGAATTGACTGTATATTTGTGGGCGAACGCGGCAGCCAATTGCGCACAGCAATGTCCCACAAACAGTCGTAGATTGAAAATGACCAATTTATTATTGGTTTTGGTTTTGAAGGGATTATTATTAGGCGTGTGGAGTAAGGAAACTTGCCCAAGGTTTCGCCCTGCCTGGAATATTTGTGGCTGTATATTTGTGGGCAAAATGCGGCAGACAATTACGCACAGCAGTGTCCCACAAACAGTCATGGATTGAAGTGACCAACTTATTATTGTTTTTTTTCCTCGAGGGATTATTATTGCCTTTAATTCCATGCGCTCCAATCTTATGCAACAGCCTTTTAGGTAGCACCTTGTCGAATGCCTTCTGGAAATCCAAATACACCACATCTACTAGGTTCCCCCTATCTAACCTGCTAGTTACATCCTCAAAAAACTCTATAAGATTTGTTAAACATGATTTCCCTTTCGTAAAGCCATGTTGACATGTTATGATTTTCTAAGTACCCCACGACGATGTCCCTAATTAAGGACTCTAGAATTTTCCCTACCACTGATGTCAGACTAACTGGTCTATAGTTCCCCATTTTTTGTCTCCCACCCTTCTTGAAAATCAGCGTTACGTTTGCGACCTTCCAATCACTGGGAACCGTTCCAGAATCCATGGAATTTTGGAAGATCAAAAACAAAGCATCCACTATCTCTGCAGCCACCTCTTTTAAAACCCTAGGATGTAGGCCATTAGGTCCAGGGGATTTATCGGTTTTTAATCCTATCAATTTCTCTAGTATTATTGCTTAAAGAAAAGGCTGCAGCCTCGGACACCTGCCTATCTATCTCAAGGCTGGGAAACAAGCAGGCTGGGGAAGGCTACCCAGAGGTTGTCCATATTTCTCTCTGTGCAAAGCAGCCTGTGCAGGGTGGGGACTACCACTGTGACAAGCGGAGGTGGAGTTAGAAACACATAAAAGATGTAACTTTGAAATAGTTGGCAGTTGTGTAGAGGGTCAGCACACTTCCCATTGGAATCAATATCGATTCTACTGTATTATGTATATGTACAGTGGTGAGTGAATTTACCTCCAGTAAGAAAGTGACCATTAAAAGTGAAAGAGGAGGAGTAGTGAGGTCCGTAAGGAAGGAGGGCTTTCTCCAGTGGGAGTGGTGGTGGATTGTGGGAGTTCCAGGAGCTGTTGCCGCTGCCCAGAGTTGAATCGGGTAATATGATTTTGACTCTGTCTGTTGCCTAATATATCTGTATAAGGGATACAGTGTAACTGATTTGTCTGTTCAAACTTTAATAAAACCTGTAACCTGTTACCTGAAAGTAACGTGGTGTCAAGTAAATTTGTCTACAAAAGCTTTCTGTGTTCAGCACATAACAAGAAAAGCAACATTGAAAATGAAATAACTTACTGCCGCAAGTGTTCCAGAATATGTTGGAGCATCTAAAATGATGCTATCTCCAGCTCCAAGGAGCATCTCAAACATCTGGGAAAGTAAATAATTTAATGAGGATTATTATTATTATTATAGACCTAGTCTTAACCTTGAAGATCAGTTTGTCTTAAAATTTAGAACTACGCAGAATTAAATGCAGTCTTAATTTGAAAGCCGTTTTTNCTTCAGGACAATGGAGAAAAAACGACTTCCCAATCAAGACTGAATTATCGAATACTCTACAGTTTGTGCAATTCTGTGCAAAACTGGAAGGAATTTTGTACCTTTAGTCTGCGAACAGCCAAGATTGACAATCTGTGTAAAGATTAGATGCTACTGAGATACTTGCGATCATATTTTGTCTTAAAATTTAGCACTGCGCAGAATTAAATTCAGTCTTAATTTGGAAGCCGGTTCTTCCTCAGGACAGTGGAGAAAAAATGTTTTCCAAATCATACTGATCAACTCGGATCAGCAATTATGTTCCTCTTTTCGCATACAGACTGATCAGTTATAATATTCATGAACATTTTTGTCACCTGGCAACAATTTTTTTTTAATATACCTCTCGTGCTTTTTTTTGACATGTATAAGTTGCACAACCACCACAATTCTTGCAGCGCAAAGCACTGGGCTCAGAGCATGCTCCACCCTGTCTTACCTTACTGTTTGCCTCCTGACTGCCAGTGGTAACACAAATCGCCATTTGCCCGTGTTCAGGGCTGTAATCAATGGTGGGAGGTTTATGAAGTGATTTTTGCAGTTCATTCATCCAAGAAACCAATTCTGGAACCCTTACAAATACATAAACAACAAAAGCAAAAATGAAAATATGCCATATTCTTTTAAAAGCTGTCTGCCAACTAACACTTTGCGTCAGAGTGTTCAGTGTTCTTGTGTTAATATTCTTAAAATGATATAGTAATGCACCATTATTATTACAAGCACTTTATCACGTTGAGACATCTCAAAGCTTTTCACGGGATGTACTGTAAAGTGGTCGACTGTGTGTATTATGTGCAAACGTGACAGGCAATCTGTGCACAGCAATGTAGTGAGCTACCAATTTTTTCTATTTGAGGAATTGTTAATCAGACACCAGGAGAAACTCCCTTCTCTTTTCAAATCGTGTCATGAGATCTTTAATGTTCGCCTGAAGAAGTAGGTGAGATCTCCAACAATGCAGAACACTCTCAGCACTGCATTGAATTGAAATTGTCAGCCCAGACTGTGAGCTCAAATTCCTGACCTCATCATCATAATAATAATCCTTGGATTTGATATAGTGCCTTATCACATCTTCGAGAGGTCTCAAAGCTGTTCACAGGATATACTATGAAGAAAATCGATTGTGTATTTTATGGGCGAAACTAGGCACCCAATCCAACAGCCGTGGAGAGAATGACCAATTTTATTTGGGGATTTGTTGCCCAGGACACCAGGAGAAACTCCCTTGTCTTTTCGAATAGTGCATGGAATCTTTAACATCCACCTGAACAGACCTCGATTTTAACATCTCATCCAAGGGATGGCACCTCCAACCATGCAACAAATTCTTAGCACTGCAGTGGAGTGGCAGCTTAGACTATGAGACATGGGGCATGAACCTACAACCTTCTGACTGAGAGACAAGATGCAACCATTGAACCAGGGTGACACACACTCAAGTGAATGACCACTTTTCTTTGGGGCAGCTACCAAATTGAACACTTGGCACAAACTAAACCACAACCCTCTCCACGAGTGCAATGGACAATTATGCTGCAACCTCCTATGTAATTAAATTGATGTCCGTTGAGCTATACATACCCTTGTGAAGCCGAATACTGCAATGCCCTTTTCATGAGATCCTGATTGAATGTGATGTTTATTCCATTTGTTACTGAGAAATTAGCAGTTTGAAAAGGGAATGTGTTAGGATTTGGCATTCCACCAGCAAAGGAGATCATAGTGGGCGGAGCCAGTAGCTGCAACTCGGCTAAAAGTTAAACAAAATCAATATTAGAAATACAAGGTTAAATTACACAATGTCTTACATGAATAATAACACATCAAGTACTGCGGGCAATGACCGCCTCCATCAGTTAGAGCAATAATAATGATTGATTTGGTGCCTTTCATGTCTGGACGACATCTCAAACAGCTTCACAGGATTTATATAATATATTCATTGCATTTGATATAGCGCCTTATTACGTCTTCTAGACGTCTCAAAGCGCTTCAAAGTGAATTGACTGTATATTTTGTGGGTGAAATACGGCAGCCAATTGCGCACAGCAGTGTCCAGCAAACAATCGTGGATTGAGTGACCAATTTATTATGATTAATTTTTTTAAAAAGTCCTATTACAGTGAAGTGTAGTCACTCTAGGTGAAACCTAGCAGCCAATTTGCGCACAGCAATGTCCCAGACCCACAATTGTTTTTAGTCAGCTGAGTGTCTGATACTTTCAGAAACCCATCACTAGGCTTCAGCATATCCAAACCAGACTGAGAATTCCATACATACCACCTGCACGTGGACATTCCCATGTACTATCGATGTTCCGCAAACAGACATGAATGACCAATTTATTATTTTTATTTGGGGGTCTTGTTAACCAAGATCTCTTTTTGAATGGTGCCATGGCAACACATCACACTTTAACATCCACCTGAACAGGCAGACAGTGTCTCCGTTTAATGTCTGATCTGAAGGATAGCATTTCCGATAATGCAGCGCACCCATAGCGCTGTATTGGAATTTCAGTCTAGGTTTAACAGTCTGTGAGCTCAGAATCCTGATGTGGCGCTTGAATCCACAACCTTCTGACTCAGAGGTGAGAATGCCACCAACTGAGCCAGGACAAAGATATATACAACAGAATCTCACTGATCCAGTCACTCAAGTGACTGGGCAAAAATGATTTACTTAGTGAGGTGACCTGATTACTGAAACAGGTTGGGTTATTCAGGTCACTGATGTAATGTTAAGGGTGGGCATTGGTAATGGGGAGGGTGATGAACATTCAACAACCATACTTTGCAATCTCATTAAAATAAAGGCATTGTCACATTTAAAACAAAAGCTGTCATGTACCCAGCCTACCTTTTAAGAATGCGTCCAACTTGTGCTCTGCCAATGCCATAGATCACAGCTAACTGTCTATGACTTTTGCCCTCACTATTTTTGATTAAGTCCACACTCTCACGTAAGGACAACTCCTTCCGTGGTGCTTCCTGGATAGCTACATCCTGGAGCCAGTCACTCCCCTGAGGGAATATACAGTCAACATTGGTTATGGTCAGGATAGGTGAATGGACAGTCAGGAGGTCAGGGGGACAACGGAAAGAGTGGTAGTAAATCCAGCATTAACCTTGAGCAACAGGTATGAGATCCTTGGAACTTGTATTGACAAGGAAGCCGGTGAGGTGGAAGGAAAAACTACCTCGAATACTGGGGCAAACGAGCGGATGGTTGTCGTCATTGGGGATGAGACTGTTAGACAGACAGACACAATCATCTGCAACTCCAACCAGAAGACCTGAAGGCTTTGTTGCCTCCCTGGGGCCGGGGTGAAGGATGTCTCAGCAGGGCTAGAGGATAATTTAAAATACGAAGGCAAGGATCCGTTGGTGGTACTTCACATAGGTACCAATGACATCGGTAGAGTTGGCCAAGATGACTTGAGAAGGGAATTCGAAGAGCTGGGGTCCAAATTGAAGTCAAGATTATCGAATAATAATAATAATAATCCTTGCAATTGATATAGTGCTTTTCACGTCAGGAGGACGTCCCAAAGCGCTTCACAGAACACACTGTAAAGTGAATTGACTGTATATTTGTGGGCGAACGCGGCAGCCAATTGCGCACAGCAATGTCCCACAAACAGTCGTAGATTGAAAATGACCAATTTATTATTGTTTTTGGTTTTGGAGGGACTATTATTAGGCTCTGTGTGGAGTAAGGAAACTTGCCCAAGGTTTCGCCCTCTGCCTGGAATTGAACTCAGGTCTCTCACTTGCAAAGCGAGTGCTCTAACCACTGAGCTACAGGACTCGAAGGTGGTAATATCAGGACGACTGCCTGTACCATACGACAATTGGTACAGGAACAAACAAATTAAGGACTTGAACGCATGGCTAAAAGAGTGGTGCGGAACTCAGGGGTTTCTTTTTATGGGCCATTGGCACAAGTATTGGAGGAAAAGAGCTCTTTCAGAGAAATGAGCTGCATTTAAATTGTGCTGGGACAAATGTCCTAGCTAAACGAATTAACAGCAAGATAAACAGGAATTTAAACTAGTAAAGGGGGGGATATATAGGTAAAATAAACCAAAGTTTATTTAATACCAAAAGTGCAGGTATTAAGACTCCTCCAGGTCAGAGTGATCACAATATGATTGAATTCTGCATTAAGTTAGAGAGGGATATAGTTAAATCCGAGGCAAGTATTCTGAATTTAAATTGGGCTAATTTTGTAGGTATGAGGAAAGATTTAGGTAAAATAGACTGGAGAAATGTAAAAATGTAGACCAATAGTGGCAAATATTTAAGGATGTAGTGCAAATTTCTTAGCGGTCGCATATTCCCTTGCGGAATAAGAGTACCACAGGGAAAGCAATTCATCTGTGGCTAACTAGAGCAGTTAGGAAAAGCATCAAATTAAAAGAAAAAGTTTATAAAACTGCCAAGAAAAGCAGCAAATCTGAAGTTTGGGAGAGTTTTAGAAACCAGCAAAAAACTAAAAAAATCATTAAGAGCGAGAAAAAGGAGTATGAGGGTAAGCTAGCTAGCAACATTAAGTCTGATTGTAAAAGTTTTTACAAATACATTAAGAGGAATAGGCCAGTGAGGGTAAATGTAGGTCCACTTCGGTCAGAGATAGAAGAAGTTATAATCGGGGATAAGGACATGACAGAGTCAGTAAATGGGTACTTTGCATCTGTCTTCACCCTAGAAATCTGCCAACAATAGAGATGCACCAAGGGGATAAGGACAGGGAGCAACTTAGGGAAATTTTCATTAGTAGAGAATTGATGCGAGGGAAACTGTTAGCACTAAAAAGTGACAAATCCCCTGGTCCAGATGGCTTGCATCTCAGGGTTTTAAAAGAGGTAGCTTTTGAGATAGTGGAGACCTTGTGTCTGATCTTCCAAAATTCCTTGGATTCTGGAACAGTCCCCATGGATTGGAAGATTGGAAATGTCACACCACTATTTAAAAAAGGTGGAAAGGAAAAGATGGGGAACGATAGGCCAGTTAATCTCACATCAGTGATAGGAAAAACTTTAGAATCGTTGATTAAGGATGTGGTAGTGCGGTATTTAGGGGAGCACAATATAATTAGGTCAACATGGCTTTACATGGAAGTCATGTTTGACAAATCTCAGAGTTTTTTGAGAATATTTCGAGTAAATTAGATAAGGTTGAATCAGTGGATGTGGTCTATTTGGACTTCCAGAAGGCATTCGATAAGGTGCCGCATAAAAGGTTAATCCAAAAGATAAGGGCCTATGGAATTGGGGGGAGCATATTAACGTGGATTGGGGAATGGTTAACGGGTAGGAAACAAAGAGTAGGGATAAACGGGTCCTTTTCGGATTGGCGGGATGTGACTAGTGGAGTGCCACAAGGATCAGTCCTTGGGCCTCAGCTATTTACCATCTACATCAACGATCTAGATGAGGACATCAAAGTTAATATATCTAAATTCGCGGATGACACAAAACTAGGAGGAAGTGCCAACACAGAGGACGACATTAAAAAAATGCAGCGAGACATAGATAGGTTAGGTGATTGGGCAGGTAGGTGGCAGATGAAGTATAATGTAGGGAAGTGTGAAGTCATCCACCTGGGTAGCAAAAACAGTAGAGCGGGTTATTTTTTAGAAGGGGAGAGATTGGAATGTGTTAGCGTCCAGAGGGACTTGGGTGTCCTTGTACACCAATCACAGAAAGTTAGTCTGCAGGTGCAGCAGCAATTAGGAAGGCGAACGGTATGTTAGCATTCATTATGAAAGGATTAGAGTATAAGAGTAGGGAAGTCTTGCTGCAACTGTATAGGGCCCTGGTGAGACCACACCTGGAATACTGTGTCCAGTTTTGGTCTCCTCATTTAAGGAAGGATGTACTTGCCTTGGAGGGGGTGCAGCGTAGATTTACTCGGTTAGTGCCAGGGATGAAGGGGATGAGTTACGAGGATAGGCTGAGCAATTTGGGCCTATATTCTCTAGAATATAGAAGAATTAGAGGGGATCTTATAGAAACCTATAAGATCATCAAAGGGCATGATAGAGTAGATAGTGGGAGATTGTTTCCCCTGGTTGGAGGAACTAAAACCAGGAGTCACAACCTTAAAATCAGAGGTCAGCCCTTTCGCACTGAGTTGAGGAAGAACTTCTTCGCTCAAAGGGTGGTGAATGTATGGAACTCACTATCCCAAAGGGCTGTTGATGCTCAGTCCTTGAACATATTCAAGACTGAGATAGATAGATTTCTTATTGCAAAAGGGATTAAGGGATATGGGGATAAGGCAGGGTCAGGTTATTAGCTGGAGTTAGATTAGAAGGTCAGCCATGATTGATGGTGGGTCAGGCTCGAAGGGCCGAATGGCCTACTCCTGCTCCTACATGTTATGTTATTTTCTGCTCGTGCTGCTTCTGCGATCCCAACACTCCCCGCGCCGTGAATGCCGACCAGAGCCCACTCCGCCCACAATAGCAGTGTCCAGGAAATAGCGCGAGAAGCCTGAGGCCTAGCGCACTTGTCCTGTACAGGTTAGTAGCGGAGGTGGATGTTTGTACCCCGTTTGATGCGAAGGAGGGCACTGTACTGGCCACAATCAATGACCGTTGTCCTGTTCACTGAAGCAGACAGGCAGAGTATCTTATAACACTGACAATGAAAGAGACTGTGAAAATGTACCCACAATTGTGAGATTACTGAGGTGACCGCAAACCAGGTTTCTACTGGATATGTATACAGTAAGCACGGCCTAT